GAAAGAAACCGGGGCTATTACTTTTGGATTTGGCAGGCAAAAGGGGATGCTACTTTTGGGTAGCCATAACTTTCAGATGGTTAGAAAACGTTTGCACAGTAATTCATTTTCATAAAAATTTGCACTTCCTAACCTATTAAAATATGACTGTGACTTAAAACTAGGAAATGGAAGCTTTATAAGTTTCTTAGATGGTATTGTAATAAGACTTTTCATTGTCAATAACTGCACAACATAATTCAAAATTTACTGGATGAAGGGGGCTGATGAACCAGTGATTTTCATTGGCTAAGTACTAGCCCTCAATGACACCCCAGCTAACCATTCACAACAAAATTCCAATATACAACCAGCGATGACCTTTTTCCAACATTTCCTCAGTGCCAATACATATGGGTTCTTGATAAAGCGTGAGGTTAAGATGGCTGGATATTGCCAAGTTCTTTTTGCATGTTTATGGAGAGAGATAGAGTTGAAGTCCATAAACTCACAAAAAAAAAAAAAAGAACAAGAACGACTGTTCAGCCATCTTGAGCAACAAGCTTGGTCAATACCGGTAAAGGATTTATTATAATATTTTATTGTGGAAAAGGAACACTGTTTTCTTGCAGGACACAACAGCTAATACTGAGCGGGCAAGATAGTGCCCTCTTGCCCGTTCGGGTAGCCAATCACTGTGCAGAATTTGGTTCATCTTGCCCGCTCACAGACCGAGCCATGTAATAAAGGCCCTAACTGATTGTCCTGTAGATTATCTGTTAAGTATCATGAGACATGACATTCACTTCAATGTTGGTGATTTTATTTTAGATTAAAGAGAGTTTTGATATATGTACCTTTCATTTTTGAGAAGCAGAATCCCATCAGAAGATATTCCAAATATTCTGTAGTTTACATGCATGTCTAAGATCATTTCATTGTTTTATAATACATGTTTGGAATCATAATGTCTTGGCTGGGCTCTTGCTCACTGGACAAGTGGATATACAAAGTTCCTAGCAGGACAGCGAAATCTACTTGTTCCAGACGTCTGGACAAGACCAGTTTGAGCCACTGATTGACTTTCTTCCTTACTCGGTAAGTGTTCATATTACTCTTTCATATCTAATCACAATGGTGACATTTAGTTTTTGATGAGGTTATAAGAATAAACCAATTTAATCTTATGAAATATACTTAAATCTTCGAGAACGGATGCAAAAACAAAAAAGTATATCAATATACAACAAGAACATCCAAATTTGACATGACTGAATGAAGCAAAATAGAATGTATGGAACTAATCTAATCTTTCAATAATATTTTTTACGAGGACTATTAAGAGCACAGTAACCTGAGTGACAATCATATTGATAATCATTAGAAACAAAAACACATTGATCATTATAAAGGTATTTTCATTACACGTGGACAAATACAGCATGTCAAAGATTATTAATTACAGAGTTAGTTGAATTTATATGTCCACAGGAAGCTTACCTCATTTACGAGAAAGATAAGTTCTCTAACTGCAGCGCCACTCTCGTGTTGAACATGAGATTCTAAACCTGCCTGTCCCAAGCTTTACGATATGCTTGTCAAGGAAACTACGTCTGTCTATTCGAAAACACATTAGGAAGCAACCAGAGATGTTAAAAATATCCAGAGAAATTTCTTGAAGTTGTGCTAAGAGTGAGAGAGAATCTTTCTTGGTGGTTTTTTCATCACAGAGCACGTTTCATTTTAATAAAATGCCTTGAGTCCGCCATAAACAGATAAGCTAAAGATCGATGTACTAAGTGCATCCAACATTGAAATTAATATTTGCCTCTAGAAGACCTCCAATATAAAGAACAATCTTCAAATAAGCAAATAAATAAAGATTAAATATGTCGCGACTAGCAGCACACAAACAGTAGGTGACAAAATTTATACCTGTTGAATAATTGTGCGACGAGTCAATATAATGAATAAATTCGAATAAATAAGCTTAACCAAATCAAGAAATAGGCTTGTTTGTTTACGACTGTGTACACCTCGGGAATTTTTCTACATTTGTAGTTTACTTGTGCGTGTATTTTAAATAAAGCAAGTTGCCTTCACTTGTTATAAACGCTCGTGAAAAA